ATGTCCTCCGTAGGAGACTAGAGGGCCAACTAAAATCGTGACCTTTGACATTTCATAGGTTTTGCATTGGATGCATTATGGGGGTTTTTGTCCGATTTGAACGACGGTTTTGGAGGGTCAATGAATATTCATGAGCAATGACGTAAAAAATACGCCAATTACTGTTTGTTGATTGGCCATCGACAAAATGTTTTATGTATTAGGTCATGCATAAAACATGTTTTGCATTCCCAGAATTCCCTACGATTTGGGCAAGAAAATGACGAAAAAATGGCGGTTGTATGAACTGCGACTTTGAAGGTTTTTCAATTACGAACAATGAAACATTTTTCTTGTAAGTGAATTTCTATTATCATAGAAGTTTTGTCAAATACATCTCAGTTGAGCAGAAAATCTTCAGGCGAACATCGACATCAAAGTGATACCATACGGATACCAAAAAAAGTAAGTAAAGCTCCATTTGTGTGAAGATCTCTGAAACGATTGTGATGTGTTCGTCGTTGCGTGTGCAGTGAGGGGCTCTCTGCATTGCCACAACGTATTATTCCCTATCCCATCCCTTTCTTTTGTCTTACCAAAGAATATTAACTGATTGAATTAACTCTAATTCTAATTTAAGTCGTCGACGGTAATACATTTAGAAATAATCAGAGGAGTTTACCGTAGGTTATTTCATTACAGCACATCTCATAATTTTAAGTTAAATTCACAGCTTGATTACCGATAGTAATCAATGGTAGATGTAGACCTGTTTAGACTGCGCAAATGGCTCATTGCTAGTCCAAGCCGATGCGATTTCGTCTTCGAGCGGTTTATGATTTTCAATTCGCTAGCCGGCTGTAACACTCCACCAAGAAGCGACTGCGTTTCCTGAGCTGGCGGCGGCTATAACTTTACAGTGTAGGCTACACTTTAGTCTTACTGTAAAGCCTAGGCTAGTATCATAGCATAGTCTGAAGCCTGAATTTTCTGTTCTCTTTCGTTCGTTAGCCTCTGATTTGGGTAGAGTCGGCTCCTCTTTTTAGCCAACCCCTACCCAAATCAGAGGCTAACGAACGAAAGAGACAGAAAATTCAGGCTAATAAGCCAGGCATAGAGTCTAGGTCTAGATCTATAGATCTAGATAGACTAGGCCCTGGCCTAGGCTAGGGTCTAGTCTAGATCTAGTCTAGACAGCAATAACCATCTGATTTGGGTCATTTCTTTAATAAAACTGACATTTGTTGTCATTCCCCAATAATCGGAGGTCTAGTGGAGCCAGACGTAGACTAGTCTCAGTGAACAACCGAAGATTAGAGAGACTGCAGTTTTCGGTCTAGATCTAGTCATGCTAGTGTGGCATTATGTATCCAGTGTCAGCTTAGTTCGGATGTAGGCTAGATAGACTAGACAAGAAACAAAACAAAAAACAAAAAAGGTGTGTCTCCCCCCCCCCCTCCCCACCTCCCACTTCCCCTGATTTCGCTCTTAGTTATGTCATTGTGCCTTGTTTGAAATAATTAGTTTTTTTCAGGATTTTATGCCACCCCTTAGTTTTATGTTGGTGAGAATTCTGGATCCAACCCTACATATGACATGGATATTTCTTTCTCTAAAGGACATGAACAAAGTTATAAACTGATAACTAATGCATGCATTTGATATTACTTTTTATTAGCAGGAACCTTACTAAGTTTCTGTTTTCTTTTAATTGTAGATGCTATGGAACAAAGAAGCAGATAATGATCACAGAAGTGCAACAAAGAGCACCAAGACCTGATCAACAAATGTATCTAATCAGGAACAGGACACCTAAGACCTAAGTTGAACTTTGGCAAGGTATGTTTGTATGAAGTTCGAAATATTTCAGGCTGTATAATAATTTAAGCCCATGCGAACACCACACTCGACTTGGACTATACAAAGATTTGGGGAACTGTCATCTTGTGTTGCATTATATCTTGTAATTCTCATTTATTCTCTAGCTTTTTGTTTAGGTGACAAACTATGGTGTTGCTACAGTTTATTCTCTCAGCATATTAAAAGATGTACTTAAAGGTACTTTTTCTAAATATTACATTATATCTAACAAACTTTTGTTCACAAAAGTCTAGCAAATAATAACTTAAAATGAATTGGAAATTACTTTTAAAATAATTGGAAATACATTTTAACCTTTACTCTTCTCTTCAAAAAAGGCCCTATCAGATAAACATAAGTTTATCATTTTTTAATAAAATTAAAATGCAAGACCTAAAAAAAGTGGGGAGGTACTATTTTGAAAATCCAATATAATGCAGCAGTTTTAATCTTATTTGATTTCTCCTCTCTTTTTGTTTTTATTATGCAGGTTGTCCCATGCAGAAGGTTTGATTCCCAGGCTTCTTTTGTACAAGTCCCTTGTCTATCCTCATCTGTTCCGGTGTCTGGGATCCCTACAACATCTCAGATGTCCAGGACGCTACTTCACAATGGGGACCACAAGAGAACCAGCAGTTTGACTGAGATGATCAGCACCTTTTAGTTGCCTACTATATCTACAACTACAAGGCACTCTGCAAGAAGACTGGGAATGGTGCACAAGATAGTCAATGGTCTCTCCGCTCTCCCTTGAAAATTTCCCCACTGCACTACTTATAGCTACTTGCGCCCTCTATATAGCAAACAATGCCTAATCGGTGCCTACTGGTCTCCCATGATCCTCTTTTTCTTATATTAATTGAGAGCTGATTTGATGAGATAACCACCTGTCAGTGACCTTGCAGGGTGGTCTAATCCCCCTGGCCAAACTAGTACAGACGGGCTTTAACAAATCACGAGCAGGAAGTACCGTGACATGACCCTCCAGTTGCACCAAGCCAGAAGCGACATAGACAAGTTTGTAATTGCCCAACACTCTGTCCCAAAGTTAATGGAACTGACTTCCAGCAAATATAGTGCATGCTGACAGTCCAGCTGCCAGGGACTACTTCTGAGGCATCTACTCTCCTTATCCCACTTAAAACAGTCTGTCTTCCTCACACCACTTGTAATCTTTAGTATTAGTTCATCTTCGTGATAGGCTACAACGCCTTTTGAAGATTACCAGAAGAATAAGAAGAAGATATATCGAGGATCATGAAAGTAATCATATCTTCTTTTAAATGCGTGTACATGTAATACAGTTTTTTGATATTTAATCTTAAGTCAAGTTCTGACAAAAATATTAGGGATGCTGAACTGGATAGTAAATTGAAGGGGGGGGGGTATAAAATGATGTAGTTCAATAGTAATACTGTAGTAATATAATTATACACTGTCGCTCAGAAAGTTGGAATATTTTTGTTTTTTTTACCCCAATTTATGGAATTATTTTAAAAATAATTTAAAAATAATAGATCTAGATAATTAGTATACATTCTCAGATCTTATTTTAAATTATTTATAAAATAATTCCATAAATTGGGGTAAAACAAAAATATTCCAACTAATAGTAACAATAAAGACAATGATCATGATAATAGTAGTAATAATAATGATAATACAGGTAGTAGTAAAATCAACAACAATAATGTCCAATGTCAGATAAAGTACTCATAAAACTCAGTATATACCTGTTCTTTACGTAATAAAATAGCATGTTGATATTATTGAATATTTTTTTTCAAAATCTACAGTAAACTTTTACAACTGAAAAATTTGAATTCAAGAGACAGCCCCCCCCCCCCCCCCCCCCACCCCCCCCCATTTTGCCATCCTTTTTGTTAATGTGTCATGTTGGATTTAAAAAGATCTTTATAGAAACAAAATATGTTCATAAATGAGTTCATAAATGTTAATAAATTAGTTGATACTGCTTAATTCTGTTCTTTTCATTTTCTTATTTTGTGAAATATATGTGATGATGCTGGTGATTATGATGATGTAGGCACTCTGTAATGATAATGCTGTATGACTGAGGTGAGATGGGGTCAGATGCAGTCTTGTGTAGAATTGAGTATGGTGTTCGACCTTTTGATGTTTGTTTATATCTGGTATCAGCGAGATAGATTTAACCATCTTTTCTAATGAGAGAAAGCGGAAATGTAACAAAAGAGTGTGGGCAAGACTAATGTATAAATACAGTATAAAAAATGGTTTACAATAAAGATGAGGGGGGGGGGGGGGTTAAATAAAGAATAAGTCAATGCCAAAATGATGAAAGCATAGGTAATTGGGCTGTGGATGGGGGAGGGAGGTTAATAGAGCCTATGGAAATGTCAATATTGGAAAGGGTCCCTGTATTGAAAATGTTACTGTTGGGGTGGGGGGGGGGGCAAATTTCCAAAAAATCAGTGGCGACGAATGCAAAAATTTAAATTTCATTGGGGATGGGGCACAATATGAAGAACATTAAAGTCGAGGTGAGAATGATTCATTATTTGGACACTAAAAATATGAATATATCACTTGTTAAGTCGGCTAAATGATCAGTGCAGTTTTTTCTGATTTAAAAAATATTTAAGTTAATAAACAAACAAAAAAAAAGAGGTAAAAAATGAATTGAGGTACCACAGTGAAATGGGGTCATTTTTTTTTTTGCCTTTTAACTGAACTGAATTTTTTAAAATGTACTTTCCATCCTGGTGACAGTGAAGTTTGTGGCCCCAACTAAGTCAACCATTTAAAAGTTTATTACCCCCCCCCCCCCCCCCCAACACACACACCTCCACAACTCTGCATGAACTTTGTTCTACATTTATCCGGCCCAATTAAGGATTATGTCGATATAGTAACGCATGCGCATTGTCTTTTTTTCATTGCGTTAATATGCTAATAAGTGGAAAATAGCTCATGAATATTCCAAATTTTAATTTAAATATTTTGCGCGCTACGCGTAGTCAAAAATCCCCGTTTCGCTGGTGCACTAAAACTTTGTCGTCTTCATAGGCTAATACATGAAAAGTGGAAGCAGTGTGCACTTTTGACCCTCCAAAATCTCCCCATGGCTAGACGGATGCAGAAGCGGAGTTGAACCCCCTAGGCCCTGGAAGCCGAAGGGAAGAGCGCCATCTAAAGTTCGAAGTACGCACTGCACTGGTCCGCTGCCCATCCTGCTTTTCTACCCTGAAATACAGCTTTAAAATGGCTGAACTACAAATAACTGAAGAAGAGGCTGAATTATATGACAGACAAATCCGTCTATGGGGCTTTGACGCCCAAAAAAGGTATTTTCTTTATTAATTATTTCGTCATTTACGTTTATTGTGTTGTCATTTTCACGTAATTTATAGACTTCAGTCCCGCCAACTTCTCTTTGTGCAACGCTTCCGATCGCGTCCGATTAGGTCAAGATCTAGTCGACGCGACCCCTCGCCCCCACCCCCCCCCCCCCCACCCCACCAATCTCCGATTGAGCTTTTCAATGTATTATACCTTGAATACCTTGAATACCTTGAATACTAAAGCTTCTGGAAGAACCGTCTCCAGCTAGTTAGTTGAATTGATTTGCTGTTGTTTATTTGTCATTCTGGTGGCTTTTGTCCGGCAGTGTTTAAAAGTTGTTTTGTAAGACTAAGAATCGGAAATAAATTCAATAAGTTAATGCCAAACAGCCACGGTCTTGTCTTTGACTGGATGAGTTTGACGTCAATTTCCCGTACTCACATTAGGACATATGGGGTGTGCTGCTCTAATGGGTCACTTTTTACACAAAAAATCCCTAGAAATGGGTCTGTTTTTTCATAATCTACAAAATTTTGCTAATTTTTTGGGGTGTTTGTCATGCAAACACCCCGTCCAAACCAGATCTGATCCTCCGGGGTCAATGTAGTCTTAATTATTTTACTTAGACTAGAGTTCGTCTTAATTTTTTAAAGGTATAGGTCTAGGTCTAGACCTAGTCTAGATAGAAATGCTGCTATGAGTGATTGTATGTGCAAAATGATTTAAATCGTCATCTTCAGATGGTTATTTCTGTTTATATTCCACATACTAAGAATCTTGCTCTACGATTGGTCAAATGTAAATCACGTGATGAAAGATAGTTCGCCCATTATTGATGGGAGCAGCAAAAAGTACTACTATCTACACAGTGCAACGCACTTTCACTGAAGATAGAGGTACTATCTACACAGGGCAACACACTTTCACTGAAGATTATCCATCTTATCTTATTCCTTATATTTTAGAGAGTAAGTGTGCCTAAAATTTTGTCAAAATTTGAGCAACAACAATGTCATTTTCGCAGGAAAAGGTGGTAGTGTCATTTAGGCATTGCAAAAACAAAGATTCCCATGTCTGTGCACTCATTCATTTTACACACAATTCTGGTATTTTACTTGAAAGATAACATTATGAGGCTAGTGAATAAAGGTGCTAAAACTAGACATTTTCACTAGTTTTTACTTGTTTTTACTTGTTTTTACTTGTTTTTACTTGTTTTTTAATGAATATATGTATTGCTATCAGAGACAGGTAACATGCGTGCACATGTTTTGTTTTATCAGAAATGCACAGTTCCACGTATGCACAGACATGGGCACTCTATCCTCCTTGCATGTTATGAATTATGTTCTGTTTGTTTGAATTTGAATACAGGTTGAGAGCTAGTAGTCTTCTACTGGTAGGTCTTGGTGGTCTAGGCGCTGAGGTCTGCAAAAATATCGTACTAGTTGGAGTTAAGTCTATCACTCTAATGGACTCACACAGTGTGACCAGGAATGATGCAAGCTCTCAATTCTTGGCTGCCAGGGAAGACTTGGGCAAAAAAATGTAAATTTGATCTGCATGTTTTAAGAGATATATCGATAGAATAATGATGTTAACTTTATCACTTAATTTGATTTTGTTTTAATATGAATTACAATTCAGCCTCAATTACTTCATTTATGTAAAAAAAAAAAAAATTTGTTTGTTAATGAAATCGTAGAATTGGAAATTGGTAAGGAATACAAAGTCCTATTATTTTTTAAATATATTTTCCCCATTCGTTTTAAATGTTGGTAATCAAGACAATATAAACATTGTTGATTTGATATCAATGGATTATGAAGCTGGATATGGGGAATGCTTGCCAACATTTTAAATTGATTAACATTCATTCTCAAAGGATTTGCGAAATGGCAGGTTGTCATGTTCAGCCTTTATCAATTTCACACCCAGACTTTACGTTAAGTTAAAGGAAAACATTTTATACCTTCACTTAAAATGAGAGCATTTTTACTCTTACTTAAATGCAACCAGCCCTAATGTTAAAGGTAATACAAAGTTTTGGTATTGGGGTCATGAATTTGGTTCAAATGAACATATTGGAAGCATATGCGATCCTATATTCAGTGATCGTTGTCGCTTTTGAAATCGAGTCTAAAGTTATGAAATTGTAAATAATAAACTTTATGTTGTATAGCTCCCTCTCAAGGTCAAGATATTAATTAAGCTATAAAACAATGTTTCTTGACTAAAATCGACCGATTAGCTATTCCTGTTTGGAAATTATATATCACAACTACACAGGTGCGTACGCAGGATTTTTTCAAGGGGGGGGGGGGAGGTATTATAATTCGGGCCGCAAAATTTCGCTATTCTGATATTTTCATGGTTGCTGCTACCATTGTATGGCCGTGGCGCTATTTGAAATTTATAAAAATTCACAGGGAGCACAGGTAAATTTTTATATTCAATTTTTTCCAAAAGCAGAAGTGTTTTAGGGGCTAAAGTTTCTAGTGCTTATAATACATCCACAGGGGCATCCAAATATCTCAAAATTGTAAAAAATCATTATCCACCCAATTTTCAAAATTTCCCAAAACTTTGTATTACCTTTAAGTAAAGTTAAAGTAAAAACACGTTTACCCTCTTCAACTTGAGAATGTGCAAAATTCAAGTTAATTCAAGATCTTGCAATTTTGACTTGCAGTCATTATGATACCAATGTATTATATCATTAGTTACACCTATTGCATGCCCTTTATAATTCCTTTGACAATTGTGTTGTGTTGTGTATTCTTTCATTTTTACATTTTATCAGAGAGCCACAGCTTCCGTCCAGAGAGCCCAGAACCTCAATCCCAATGTTGTTGTCACATCTGATGAAGGGAATGTCTGTGACAAACCTCAAGAGTTCTTCAAGCAGTTTGACATTGTATGTGTGACCTCCTCCAGTGTACAGACCATGATGCATGTCAATCAGATATGTCACGAGAATGATATCAAGTTCTTTGCTGGAGACATATATGGCTTCTATGGTTTCTCATTCACAGACCTCAATGAACACAGTTTTGTGGAGTAAGTCAGTTCAAGTCAATTACAGATCTATCTCTTAAATCAAGTCATTAAATGTAAGATATTGTACAAAATATTCATACAAATAGAATTGGAATGAATGTGCTTTTCATCGCAGTAATAATGATCAAGTCAGATAATAAAGTCTTGTAGTTCCTTGGATTTGCATCTTAGGCTTTGAGTTAAAAAATATTTATTTAATTGTATAATGGATAGCTTTGTAGAAGAGAGCAGCTCTAGGTCATATTTTTTTACAAGTTATCAAAGCACATTTGATTTACTGATACAGAGGATGTTATATGTTTAAAGATAGATAATTTAGAAAGGTATCATCATAATCCATAGTGGTTGGACTAACTTATGAGAAAAAAAATACATTAATATTTAAAAAGATTACAATGATCAACATCAAAACCACTTTTCTCAATTTTGTTTTTAAATTATGTTAAGAGTCGAACCATCCTGTCAGGAGTGAATAGTGTCATTAATCTTGAAGCAAGTGTTTATAAAGGACTGTTAAAAAGGTCCATGTCAATGTAAAAAGTGTGAGTAATCAACAGTTGTTGCTTGTTACCTATCCAACATTTTGTGAATGGTTGAAATTGTTTGGATTTTTTATTTATTTCTTTGCTTTACTTTTCTCTATTATTTGATAACTTAATTGATAGTATTTTTTTCCCATGCAGAGAAAAACCAAAGAAAGTAAAAGGAAGCAGCGCAACAGGCAGTGAATCCAAGAAACTTAAGGCTGATCCAACAGAGACCGTATTTGTTAAGAAAACAATGATCTTTCACCGACTAAAGGAATGCTTTGACAAAGACTGGTCAAGTCTGACAGAAAAACAACTCAAAAGAGCTCCTTATGTCTTCTTTATTCTTAGAGGTAAGTTTAAGTCCAATCATTGTTATTTTGAAATATTTACACAATTATCATCCTATTTTAATGGTTATTGGTTCACATTCTTTGATCAAAGATATCGAGATTCAGGGGAGATTGCTGTTTTAAAAATTTGTAAACTCTCCATTAGATTCTTTGTTCAAGATAGTTAGCAATTTGATACTATGCTATTTAATGATTTGTAAAAATACTAATTGTTTTAAGCTGCTGTCCATTTTCGTTTCTTTTGAAGTGCAATATCAACAAATGAAATGAAAAATAATTTATGAAATCCCAAACCTTTTGTTACGGGAGAAAGTAATATTGGAGTTAAGATTTACCTCCACAGTTTAATCTACCTTGTTTTGTATAAACAATCTACCCTGAGTAAAATCTCTCGTTATCAGTAGCACTGTTCAATATTGGAAGCTTCTGGAAGTTTGTTATGTTTTGTCCTGTAGAATAAATATAGTATGAATCTCTCTCTCTTTCTCTTCACTTCATTTTGCAGTGCTTTTTAAATTCCATGATCAGTTTGGTAGAAAGCCTGAAGCAGCAAGCTCAGAGAATGACAGCACAGAGCTACAAAGATTACATAATGAAGTCTTCACTGAGCTAGGACTAAAGAATGATCTAATAGACACCAATTACACTGAGTAAGAATGGGATATTGTTGTGTATATGTTATTATTTGTATGAAGGGTTTTTGCACTAACCATAAAAAGTGGAATGTATTGTGCTTTGAGCAACTTTTAAAAAAATATCTTGTGTTAAAAAAAAATTACCTGGATGACTGTGCAGTTATTTTTCAATATCTCATGGTTTGTAAAAGGGAGAATGCGCATTTAAATCCTTGGGTAAGGATGAAACAGGTTTTTTGCTGTGCATTTCATGTGCAAGTTGATATGAATACATTAGAATGTTACAGTGAAAATTTAGGTACTAGGTTTTATACAACTAATGATAATAGTCATGAGTAGCTTTTTGTTCTTGGAACCACCCAAGGGTTCCGACGTTTTCGATTTGAGAATATTTCACTTGTCTTGCCAACTCATGGAAAATGATCATTAGCTTATGGGATGTACCCTTGTATCCCAAATCAAGGCTATTCAATATTATTTAATTGACTCTGATAACTACATTTAAGGTTTCTGAATCTCACTTTTTAATCAAAAGTAGCATATTTCTATATAACTTGAATGTAAGCTTTTAAAATTTATCCAGTCTTTTCATAAGTAGATATATTTCTCTTTATCTGTATGTGAAATAACAGTTGGACAGACTTAATACTTTTTCTAAATTTCTGTAGATTCTGAATTGGGACTAGGACTAACCTTTCATTTGTTTGATTTGTGTAGATACTGTGCAGGAGAACTAGGACCAACATGTGCTATTGTAGGTGGAATCATTGGACAAGAAATAATCAAGGTAACAGCTCTAGGGAACAAACTTGGTTTAGATAATGTATTACACAATATTAGATAGAGATAATGCCCTTCTAGTTCTGAATACGGTAGGTGATATTTTAGTGTACAACTCACAGGAGGTCACAATCCACTGACATAATTGCCAATTTGAGATTCACATAGAGTCATTGATCTCATCTTACAAATAATTATAACTTTCTAACTTCCTTATTATTTTTCGGATTTCTTTCAAGCTTTCGCCATCCTGTTGTTTCTCTTATTCCTGTTCTTTCATTCAAATCAATATATAACAAAGGTTCTATTTTCCCTTTAATTTCTAAATTGTAAGAAATGTCACTGAATGTTGATTAATGTTTAGTTAAAAAAATATTTTGTCATAGGATTACTACCAATAAATTTTTTACAGCATTTAGATTAAGAGTTTCACATTTGAGCTTTAAGTTGTATAATTCTGTTTTTGTGTTCCTAGGCTGCCTCTGGTCGAGATGCCCCACTTGACAACTTCTTTCTTTATGATGGAGTAGACAGCCTTGGAATGGTGGACTGCATTATAAGGTCATAAAAGGTCATGACCCTTGACCCTCATGGAGATGCTGAACTGAACAATATATTTCTGTATAACAGAGTTGACCAGCCTTGGAATGGTGGACTGCATTATAAGGTCATAAAAGGTCATGACCCATGACCCTAATGGAGATGCTGAACTGAACAATATATTTCTGTATAACGGAGTAGACAGCCTGGTGATGGTGAACTATACATGTCTTGTAAGGTCATGACCTTTGCACCTGATAGAGATGTTCTTTCAAATGGTTTGAAAAACTTCATGACCTTTGAATGTTTAATTTACAGTAAGACTGCATCTTTAGTAATGTTGATAAACTTCCAAGATAGATCTCAAACTTCGGATTTGAGATTTTAAGATATGCAGATAATGTTTGGTATTCAATATGAATTCAAGTACATGGTACTTTGTTTCCTGTTGTGTGTATATTGTCTTAATACTATTTTAACTGCTGTACATTTTTTATGAGAGGGGGTCAAGTTTCCTTGTATTACTTCAGGTAAATTGTCAAATGTCCTCTTTGCCATTTGTGTGGACACTGAATTTGTCTTTATTTTTTGGATATGTGTTTTCTTGAAAATTTAAATTCTCGTTTTATTTACTTGTCTAAACTGGCTAACATTCCAAGGTTTTTATTTAATGTGGAGAAATAAAGCTATGGAAAATGATCATGATTTCAATTTTTTGGTTTACCGGTATTTGAAAAAGCAACAACAGTTCAAAGTGATTCACATTGGTATTAAATAGCTTATAAATGACTTATTTCAGATGATCAGTAAGGCAGTGTCAGTTGTTTTGAGAAATTGTATCAAAGTAGTTTGCAAAATGTTGTCCATGCAAAAAACAATGTCAGATAGCAGTAAACATGAGTACTGTAAGTCGGAATGGGGGACCTTCACGGTTTCTGTGATGTAGTTTGCCTGCCCCATTCCTGGCAACTTGTAAATGCTCATGGGAATCACGATGATTTTCATCCTTTGTTTTGTATGATTTGTTCTTCTATATAATCCTCTGTATACACTTTGTTTTGCCGAATAAATAATAATAATAATAATAAACATATCTTTGGCCAATCATGGTTGATGACATGTCACTCTTAGGAAGATGTAAAATAATTGTATGCATGAAATACTAAATAACACATATTCTTGTACAGTGCCTGACTTACTTATGGGAGAGTTAGGTCAGTGGTTTTTGTATGTTTATAATGGAACAATTTATTGTGCTTGTTGCTTACTAATAAAATAATCAAAATATCAATTTATTTCTGAAATTCTTTTGTAAATTTGAAAAGTGCTTGAGTAACAGAGTGCAGACTCTCTTTATTCTTTATCTCCCCCCCCCCCACTCTCTCTCTCTCTATTTCTCTCTTTCTCCCTCTATCTGTCTCTGTCTATTTTTTTCTCTCTCCCTCTTTCTCTCCCTCCGACTCTTTCTCCCTCTTTCTCTCCCTCCGACTCTTTCTCCCTCTCTCTCTCTCTCTGTTTCTCTCTCAGCAATGCTCTGTGAGGTGCAAAGAGATATTTTAAAATTTACATTGCATGAACGATTGCCATGAACAAAAGCAGACAATTTAACAATTACGTGTATATCTAAGAACTTTAATATTATCAAAATTCAAAATTACAGAGAAGTGACATGACATCATAAACATTCTCAAAATGGTGCACTTTTAAACGTGTAATATAAGGTACAATCTTTAAAGGGATCCGGTAACTTTGTCTCAGATTCTGAAAAAATTTCTGGATTTAGCTTATGATGCAATAATAATTGTAAACCTTTAGGTCAGTCAGGAACCCCATGACTTTTACAAGCCGATCGCCTGTCTGAATATCAATATCTATGATTGGAATTACAAATTTTGAAAACCGTTCGCCTGATGGTTTTCATAACACTACAGTCTATTGGGGAAAACGAGTATGGTAAAACTGGTCACTCAAAGATTTTTACTTTTTTGAGGCACTTCTTGATCATTTTGAAGCGCAATTTTTTTAGGGCTTCAAAACCATATCACAGACACTGATAACACGTAGGGCCGTGTATCTCAGATTTAACATTGTTAAACGATCCCTTTAAATATAAATCCACTTTTTTGAAAATGCCTGAAACAAATCTGGAGTTCATGAATAATGGTTTGCCGTTGACTAAAATACACGAGGGGGGGGGGGGATACTCAGATTTGGTTTGGACGGGGGAGTGCCATTGAAGCTTCAAAACCCCTACCCACCATTAGGGATAATTTGGGGTCATTTTTCTCGAAAAAAGACTAAATTTTTCACAATTTTCTGGTGTTTTTCGGGCGTTTGCATGGCAAACACCAAAAAAAAAAATTGTATTTTTGTTAAAAGTGGGACCCATGTTTAGGGATTTTTTGTGAAAAAAGTGACCTGTTAGAGCGGCACACCCCTGTATGTCCTAATATGCTAATATTTCCTCTTAAAAAGGAAACTGTAGAAAAAAAATAAATAAATGTATTCCTAAGACTATAAGTGAAGAAAGAAACTACCATGCTTTCCAAGTACACTTAATATCCCCCCCCCCCCCCCCTCAACTGCAATAACGGGCTAATATTACATTCAGAGCCTCTGATCAAGAACTGTTAAAATGGGTCAATAGAATAAACAAATCTTCAATTTACTTTATATTGTTCATTAATAATAAATCAGGTTATGACTGAGAGTGGAAAAAATTATCATTCTCGGCTAATTAAGGCAGATTCCCCGGCCACCCCCCCCCCCACTCAGTGTTATTTAGGGTACGCGTATGCTTGTTCTCCTTTTTTGAAATCATCCCCTATCTGAGGGCTGCCAACATTTCCGAACCCCCCTTTTGCTGGCTTTTCACGGGCTTTTCCTGCCGTGGATCGAGACCCCCCTAAATGCAGAAAAATGCTCAATGTATCCCCCTTAAATCGGAATAATTTCTCAGGAGTCCAAAGAGATGAGAGAGAAAAAAAACAAAAACAAACCCTTTTTAAAGAAATCTCCAGGTGAAAAATCAAATACACCCCCTTTTTTTACAATTCTTGGGCCGGACTTTGTCGCACAAAAAGTACCCCTTTACCAGACATTTTGGCAACACACATGCGGTCATTCCGACCCCGGAGTGGGGGGGGGGGGCGGGGCAGATTCAAGGTTTTAGAAAATGAGGATGCCGAGTGGATTGAAAACGACTGAAAAATGGGCTTAATATGTTGTGGTAAATAAATATTGTCGAGTGTGGATTGTCAACATCTGGGCTATAGAATTAACACACGTTTCAATGGGATAGTCAAGAAGTTAGACTTATGACGGTTTCTAGGAACCCGCCCCTGGATCTGCTTATGCTTCTAGCTCAAGCATATTGTTTTTGACCTTTTTGTTTATCAAAAATACAATTTGTTTAAGATAAAGTTTTTTACTCAGTTTAAGTGATTAGTTCAGATTCTATAACGGTCTGAAATTTTGCTAAGATTTTCTCTTGACAAGATCCAGTAAGTAGAACCCCCACCCCCAGTTAGCTTTTTTCTTCTACTATAGGGAAAAAAGAAGGTAACTTTAGAATTTCTTTTCGGTTTGAAGATACCATTTACCACATATTCAGCCCCCGGGTGCGTTATTTTTTTATGCGGCACAGATTGGGGCATGGCGCGTGTTAAACCTATGGGAAGTACGTTCTTTCCCTTATGAATAGTGTCTGCACGTACGTGAGACTAGTCATGTTAACAAGCGCATTAGCGCTGCGAATAAGTTTGTATAACCAGGGAGGTGAGACTTTACAAGCCCTGGTATAACCATCGCGAACTATGTGTTTAGATAACATTCCTCTTCGTTTAAGTTAGTTAAGTTTTATTGACTAATTATTGTGATGTTCTCCTTATTGACGTGCTGCCTCCTCTTCAGATTTCCAATTTGATTTTGATTGTTGATGTAATGATTTTCCATGCGGTAGTGGATTAAATGTAACACTATTAAAAACAGACCTCTACTACTTATACTGTCTAGTACGCACACGACCAGTAATAGTCTGTAAATCAAGACCCCTTTTTAAAAAAAGCCCCAATCTGTGCCGCATAAAAAAATAACGCCCCCCCGGGTGAAGCTTTTCTTCACACACCTAATCGGAGATGAAGGTAGCCCATCCAATGTGTAAAAATTGCCAATTTGATAAGTGTAAGGATCGCATTGTACACATACAACCGCTATACTACACACACGCAATATATTCTTTGTGTATTGTATCCGTCAGGCATGATCAATGCAACGATGGCTGGCTACCAATTAAAATAGGCATGGTGGTCGGATATAATGAGAGTAGATGATGGAGGGGGGGGGGGGGGGGTAAAGCGCAGTACTTAGGGGCAAATCAAAGAATTATACTAAGACCTCACCTCATGTATGTTAGAAATTAAAAAGTTATTATCTTCTTTTGAATTGCAATATATCCCCGCACCATAATTATAAGTCATGCATGAATGTTATTTGTCATATGTTATATATTTGAAAGGTGGTACACGATTCAAGCTCTATTTTGCTTATGTTTCATCACGTACCTTTGTGTGTTCTTTCTTCAAACTGTATATTAGTTGCAACGTGTCTATGATAAATCATTGTTATATTCTTTTTCATGTGAAGTCAATTCAAGTGGATTGTAAAATTGAAATGATTTGTTATATTATATTATATTCATTTTTCATGTGATGTTAACTTCAATGAATTGTGAAATTGTGAACATGCATGCATGCATGCATAAATAAATAATAAATAAATATGCCTTCTCTGGGAAAAGGGGCATTGACTCTTTAAATACCAAATCACAGAAACTATTCACCATTATGTCACCGTCATGTACATATTTTCTATGGATATATTTTTTTAAATCTCAACTCTTTGCACATCAGCGTCATGTACATTGTCGATGGATAAAGTGGAATATTTATTCTTCACCACCCTACGCTATCTTTTCACCACCCTAGCATCATGTATAGTGTCCATGGATAAACTGGAATATTAATTCTTCACCACCCTACGCTAACTTTTCACCACCCTAGCGCCATGTACATTGTCTATGGATAAATGGTAATATTAACTCTTCACCACCCTACGCTAAGTTTTCACCACCCTTCAGTTATGTACATTGTCTATGGATATGCTGGAATATTAACTCTTCACCACCCTACGCTAACTTTTCACCACCCTAGCGTCATGTACATTGTCTATGGATAAAGTGGAATATTAACTCTTCACCACCCTACGCTAACTTTTCACCACCCTACAGCGCAATGTACATTGTCTATGGATAAACTACACTCTTAATTTTTCACCACCCTACGCTAACTTTTCACCACCCTAGCGTCATGTACATTGCCTATGGATAAGCTGGAATATTAACTCTTCACCACCCTACGCTAAGTTTTCACCACCCTACCGTCATGTGCATTATCTATGGATAAGCTGGAATATTAACTCTTCACCACCCTACGCTAAGTTTTCACCACCCTTCAGTTATGTACATTGTCTAGGATAAGCTGGAATATTAACTCTTCACCACCCTACGCTAACTTTTCACCACCCTATATAGCGCCATGTACATAGTCTATAAACTGAAATATTAACTCTTTACCGTGTTAGTTTGTGTTAGTTATGCCTATGCCTTCACGGTGACCATAATGGTAGGAATACTCCCCAGCAGAGGCCGCACTCCTGGGGGGGGGGGGGGAGTAGGGGCATAGTGCCCCCTCCCCCCACTTTTTCAAGCACCCGAAAAGTGCCCCTTTTTACATAGGAATAGTGCTCCTTTTACTCTGATAAGTGCCCCTTTTATTTTGACACGTGCCCCTTTTCCTTCGACAAGTTCCCATTTTCCATTGCAATAAGTCTCCATTTTCCATTCTCGTAAGTGCCCTCTTTAATCTCTAGTACTAGGGTAGGTGTGGGGAATTGGAGACTCTTAAGCACATTTCCATAATTTACATAAACATGAAAAATGTTACACATACAGAAAGTTTTGTTTTCTCTTTAGTAATTTCTTCTCTTTATTGGGAAACAAAATTGTGGTCATGATGTAACTGATTAATAAGATAAAAATAATTTATGACGTCATCACCAAAGGTCTCTCATTACCAACATGCGTAGGTAATAAGGGACAGTTACAAATCAAGACATTTCAAATCAAGACATCAAGACAAAAATGGGATTGTTATAGTTAGTTCAAACACTTTTTGAAAGAGATACATGCAGCCAATGAACTTACTGTAATTTTGAAACGATTTTGAAA